GTTTTTCTAAGTTCTTGGCTTATGTTTTCTTTCAGCATAAAGCCGTCCTCTGTTCATTACCTGCTGTGTTCCTTTTATTCATTTTCTCTTTTCGCTGCAGTAAATTTGTCTAAAGGCTGTTTTATTTTAATTTTTTTTTCTTGTATGATTTGATAACTTGGCAACTCTTTCCAGACCCTTTATTTGCCCTGAAACATTACAGTGAGTGCTACGTGATTTCTTCCTCATCTAAAATCTGTCTTCTGAGATTCATCCTGAGGACAGACTTTCTGCAGCATGTGCATGGGGGAGGGTGGGTGAAGGACGCTACAAAACTAGAGGGTTCCTTGCCATTCAAGCTTTGTTAACTATCCTGAACCTTTCTTCCTTCCCCTTGTCTGGGAAGCATCCTTGTTCAGCATCAGAATGGCCCCCTACCTCAGATAATTCTTCTAACTCCATTTGGAGAAGCTGAGCCATGGTCTATGACCAGTTCAAATGCTCTCTTGTCTTTGCAGTCATTCCCACTTCCTCATAATAGAAGAAAGAAATACACAATTTTATTTTTTTTAAGCATTTGTATTGAAAATATGATTGTGGGACAGGGTGGTGGGGGCAGCTAGGGGGCTTGGTTTGGGGAAATTGCAGCCAAGGGGCTCAGTTGAGCAATGGCTTCCTCCCATTCAATCTCAGATTCTTCTCATCTCCTTCATCTTTCATCTTCTGTGTGGTTAAATGTCACTGTGTCCTTGGAGATAATAAGCTCCAAACGTTTCTGAAAGTGTTTTGCTTTCCCTTGATAGTTTTGATGCCCCTAGGGAATCACCACAATGGTGATGTCCAGGGGTTTTCAGTGTCCTTTAGAGCGACTCAGAAGAAGGTGGGTGGGGGCTTCTACTTTTGTGCAAGGGTCCACTTCCTCTTCCAGAATCCCCAGCTCATGCTGCTCTTTCTGTTATTCTCCTAAGAGGAATTATATTGATCCTTTTTAGAATCTTGTTGTCTGATCTAATCCCATCCCTCTTCCCAAGGCAAAATGAGCAGGGTTTGGAGCTGCTTGGACTGTCCCAAGCTAAGGCATATTAATATTTTGAAACTTCCATTAAGTTATTTTCCTATCCTTTGTTCATTTTCCTTGATTGTTTCCAGTATATTTTTGTTGTGTTTTGTTTTAACTATTTTTTTGCCTTTTTTTTTTTTTGGAAGAGAAGTTTGGTTTGCTGTCTTGATATTTGTTTACTCTCTTAAAATTAAATTCTGGGAAAGATAACTTTTTAAAAAATGACAAATATGAAAATCTTCACAGAAGCTCTGTTTTAAGCATGGTTAATGAACTGAATAGCATAAAAGAGGGAAGGGAATATTAATATTATCTCACTGTTTCTTTCCTGTTCATTCAAGCCCTTATATCTTTAGTATGTGTTTCTTTTTTTTTTTTAAGATTTTATTTATTTATTTGACAGATGGAGATCACAAGTAGGCAGAGGGGCAGGCAGAGAGAGAGGGGGAAGCAGGCTCCCCGCTGAGCAGAGAGCCCTATGCGGGGCTCGATCCCAGGACCCTGGGATCATGACCTGAGCCGAAGGCAGAGGCTAAACCCATTGAGCCACCCAGGTGCCCCTTTAGTATGTGTTTCTTAACCTTAAATAGGAATAGTGAGAGAAAACAAGTTGACCGGTCTCAAGAAATGTCCTTCACTGTGTAACCTTGATCTGATGTGAAGGAAAGCAAAAGCAAGCCTGCTATGCACCTGTTTGAGAAGTCCCATCAGCTGAAAGTCTTGTTTTTCCCTTTCACTGTATCTTCTGTCTAGTCATTATGTGCTTTATCAAGGTTATCAGAATGTCCTTGAATCTCAGTGTTCTCATTATTCCCAGAGACAAAGGGACCAGACAGTGTGACTGATATTCTGAATCAGAATTGCTTCCTCCTTTGCTCCACCCCAGGTGCCCATACCCATGTGGTCATCACAGACTACGGGTTTCCCCCAGATGTGATGTTGGAAATACGATGTTCACAGGTGTTCTTGGTGGCTTGGCTTGCCTCACTGAGATCATTTGTAAGTCCCTGTTAAGATCACCATCTGGAAAATACAATGGCTACTCTCAAAGAATTTGATAGGTTTCACTCCAGGTAACAGCTTTGGTTACTAATGAGTAGGTAGGTAACGGCCTATCAGGGAAATCAATCAGGGCTGCTGGGCTGGCCATGCTGCCAAGACTCCCCACTGTTCCTCATGGTTACAAGTTTCCATTGACTTCATAGGAGCCTCAGAGAATGGCCAGGGGAGAATGCAGTCCTTTTATTCAGCAGTGAAACTTACACTGACTTCATCAAAGTCAAGATGTCAGGCAGATAATTGAATTAAATTGCCACAGCAGCATCTCAATGTCAGGACTGTTTGGTGTATATTCAGGGAGGAAACACTTAACAAGGCCACACACATACACACAAACACATACAACAGTGTACATATATGGGAGTATGTATGCATATGTAAAAGAGAATCTATGTATATGTATATATGTGTGTTTGTGTTTGGAAAATTCTTTCCAGTCAACAACAGAAAGAATCCAATTCATAATTATGAAGCATGCAGTTCTTATTTTGAGAAGGTAGTCCTTATCAAAATGTATGCTGTATTTGATAAATGAGTGATAGTAGAATATAAAAAGATCTAGAAAATCATTGGCACAAAGGAAAAAAACAAAAGAAAAATAATTTACATTAAACAACTGGACCAGAATCACTGTTTAATAAATAGTAACTATTGCTATCCTAACAATTCCAAAGCCTTGTCTTTATTAACTATTTTCTTTATAGAATAATAACTTCCAAAAAATACTTTGAGGCAATATTTAATAGAAAATATTTTTTAAGACTGTGTAACTATTTAATAAATGTTAGGAAAGGGAAGGAGAGACTTATATTATGAGCCACGAGGAATAAGTTAAGGTAGAAAATCCTAAACTAAGGAAATCTACAGCTGTTGGACACAAAGTTTACCTCTAAGTTTCCTAGAAATCAAAGAAAGAAGAAAAACACAATGAGATGTAGCTATAATAAATAAATAACCAAGAATCATACTAGTTTCCCAGAACAAAATAGTGTTTCCCTCTCTGTGCTGTGCATCAGAAATTTATCCTGTCTTTATGTAAGTAGGATGACCTACTTGTAGTTTATTAAGAGTTTTTCCACTTTAAAACCTGTAATTATTTATATAAAACTTTCACTCTCAGAAGTGTCCTTATTTGGAAATTGTATTATGTGTTCATTTTCTACACATCAAAACACACGACTGCTGCAGGTTTTATGAGACCAGAAACATACATTACCTTAGAGACTCCCATTTAAGAAACAGGAAGGACAATTACAAATACAATATTAGAAAGAAGACATAATATTTCTTTAGAGTGAAGTAAATCACAAAAGATTAATACTTTTAAAAGTTGAGAAACTATTAATGGGCTGCCGTAACTCAATAATTTTTTTTTCTGCATTTGTTGGCTGGATACTCTAGGAATAAACACCTCTTTTGAGGCAACAATTTTATTATAGAGGAAATAGTATGGTTGATTAAAATTTATTATTACTGAGAGTTTCCGGAAGTTTGAGCTTTGTAAGTCATTTCTAACATTACATAACTTTTTACAATTGTTTCCACATTTGGGGAAATCTTTCCATTTCTTCTATGTATGAACTCTTAAGATTTTCAGAGAATTTGTATTTCAAGTTTTCTTGGGAGAACTAATTTTAAATCATCCTTTAACTGACAACATACGTTGGCCAGTATGCCTTGATATTTTGGTTATAGTGGCATATAAGTTTTATTATTTTTGATAATGTCAGTAAATTTGTTAAATCAAAAGAGCAGAAATTTTAATTTATTCCCAATATACTTAAATGATGTGTGCCTCTTCCTTTACTGGATTATTGAAAAGAATCAAGGAAAGCTCTCTTTTCCTCTTCAGGATTTACTGCTTCGGGTACAATCTGCCTGCTGTCTTCTCTGGAAGTTCTAGACTTTAGCAACAGAAAGGGTGTCAGATATACAAAGATAAAATCTGAAACATTTGGATGTATAAGATATGCAGTTCCTCACACAGACTTGCTGTATATAGGAATGCTATAGGTGTGTGTCCCACTAAGATAGGAATCCTGATAAATCTGTTTCTCCCCCATTTCCATAAAAAGAAGAAAAAAGAAAGTATGGTCGTTCTTAAAATTGCTGTTACTGCATTGTTCAGTCTGTCGTTGACAGGCAGAAAGTTCTGTGTTCGCTTAGCACTGATGAGAGCAGAATCCTATGAACGCTTTTACCTCTATAATAATCGGAAGTGTTTTTGAAAAAGTAGCTATGCCCCGATACACTCCCAACCATGTTTCCTCCCCATGACTCTTGTTCTTCCTTTGCTAGTCATGCTATGACCTCAGGTTCTGTAGCTTTGTAGCAGGACACTGGGGGAGTTGGCACAATCCGTGCCTGGATGAGTAAGAATAGCCTAATTTTCCACTCAAGTTACAGCCATCATGTTACGTAAATCCAAAATAAATGTATGGCCAGCATGAACTCTTTTGAGATACCTCACATTCTTGGAGCCATAGGAATAACCATCAGACAACAAGAGGGGAAATGTTTCACAGGAGAAAGCCGATGGCCCCAGACAGTGTTCCTAACAGGGTTTTGAGTAAAATATTTTATATTTGCAAATTTTACCAAAGTTGTTGACTTTCTGAAGCAAGTATTCGTTCCCCTCCCAGGGCCTTGGAAGGTACACATGCAAGTGAGGGGCCTGTAGGTTGAACTTTGTCCAGTTCATGGTCAGTCTGCCTCTGCCCATGTACTACACAGGGACACCCCATGTTGCAGACCTTGGTCAAGATCTAAGGCCCAATCAAGCCGTAGGAAAGAGTTAGGTAAAACCAGCTCTACAAAGGCTTGGAATACATACAGTTTTCTAGTGATCATGCAGGTATCAAATTTAGAAAATCTGAAGGGCTAAATATCTAGCATATCATTGATCGTTTTGTAGTTCATGAGCGTGACGATTGGGTGTTCACAGCCATTGGGTGACTTGTGTCTTCCTGAAACCTCATTACGACTTTGGTACATGACTTGTCTGATGTGGAAAAAAAAAAAGTGTAGCATATCCACTTTGATATCAATACTCTAAGCTGAACGTTTTCTTCTGAAATAATTCAAGTGAAAATAGGGAAGAGATTGTCTGTTGCCAGTCCCAATTGCTATCTCTATGTATAGACTGTAACAAGTGCAACACACAGACTAACTTCGTTAATATCAAAGCCTGTGGGGGTGGACCTGCTGTTTTCCAATGTGGTCTCCAGAATACCGACTTTTCTAGGTAGACGTTACTAAGATTAACTTACTTATCTATTAAAATAATTGTCTTCTAAAAATGGATCTGGAAATTCTTAAAATCCCTAATCATTCCCATTTTAATGATTTTTTTTCTCAAAATTGCTGAGGAAAAGAAACAAAATAAAGGCTTTTCCATAAATCTTTATATCTTAACTCAGAAATCAAAATAAAGGAGTTGAGAGGAGGCAAGACATGGCTTCAGTAATCTCTTCTTTCTTTGGGATGAAATCCTCCATGGATGAGAAGGCAGGTGAGGCCAAAAGTTTCTTTGGGACATATGGGCAGAGGGTGGGACTGCCTCTTGAGGAATCCCAGGCAAAGCAGTCCTTCTGCTAAACTCTCTTTGGGAAGGGTGTGGAGGGGTGAGTCTCATTCTGTTTTACCCATGAATTCTTCGGGTGTTATCAGGCCTGATTGTCAGAGTGTGGATGAGTAAATCTCAGGTTTCATTTTTTCCTGTCTTTCTAAATAACCCTTGGTTCATTTTCTGTTTATTCTCTGTATTCTGATCAGTAATATGTTGTACAAAATTGTCCTTAGCTTTTCTGGCATCCGTCATTACTACCATTTTAAGGCAGTGAATATATTTGTAGGATATTGAAATCACTATAGAAACGTAAAGATGGATGGAATTTCAGATGGACACCTTAATGCTTCTGCAAGGCTTGGCTTTAAACAGAACAGATTTTTCTCTTTTTCATTCTTGAAGCTTCCCTCTCCCCTTGAGTTGTTTTTCTGTAGAATCCTTTGTTCCGGGAACTCGGAATTGATGTGGACATTGAGCTGACTTTTACTCAGTCATGAGACTTGGTGGGTTGGTGCCTGGGCTCGTCGGAGACCACCTTGCAGACATGATGAACATAGTGGGCAGCGCATACCGATTCCTCTCTAAACTGCCCAGATCTTCTATTTTCCTTTCAAACCCCACAGCCTTCCCCCACCCCAGTGAGTCTGCACATTTTTGGTTTTGTTTTGTTTTTAAGATTTTATTTATTTTAGAGAGACATAGAGAGAGTGTGTATGAGGGGAGGAGCAGAGGGAGAGGGAGAGACACTGAAGCAGACTCCACGCTGAGCACAGAGCCTCACATGGGACTTCATCCCAGGATGCTGAGATCATGACCTGAGCTGAAATCGAAAGTCAAATGCTCAACGGACTAAGCCACCCAGGTGCCTCAGGTCTGCATTTTTGAAGGCATTAGCCTGCTGCAGCCGCTTTTGCCTGGCAAAGCAATAAAAGTATAGTTTCTCCTTATTCGCAAACTCTGTCTTCATGTTTAATTTCGGCTCCAGAGCCCAGAAATCGGTTTTCAACAACAGGCTATGTTTTTGTAGATAAACAGCCATCTATATCTGACTGTTAGAAAAGTTTTTGCCTAAAATTTTCCCGCACACCCTTGTCCCAGCCCTCAAAAGTAGAAGAGTCTTCACAAAATACTATAGGGTGTTAAAATTGCACAGTTGAGGATTACCTCCCAAATTATTTCTGTATTTATTTATTTTTGTCATTTTAAAACATTTCACAAATGCACACTCACTGTTGAGAAGTATGGCAAATGCCTTTTCAGCATTAGTGTCTTCTTTTATGTAACATATTAAAGGCATATCTTTTTCTTCACTCTAATCCAATTTAAGAAATATATTGTATAGTATATAGAATATATTGTATATATGGTATATAGAATTTATATAATGTATATAGAATTTTCAGGTGTAATATGAGTCTTTATTCTGTTATTTAAATTTGGAAACGTCTTTTTTTTTTTAAGATTTTATTTATTCATTTGACAGAGAGATCACAAGTAGGCAGAGAGGCAAGGAGAGAGAGGAGGAAGTAGGCTCCCCGCTGAGCAGAGAGCCCGATGTGGGGCTTGATCCCAGGACTCTGAGACCATGACCAGAGCTGAAGGCAGAGGCTTAACCCACTGAGCCACCCAGGTGCCCCAAAATTTCAAAACGTCTTAATGAATGTCTTGCCTGCCCCCAAATCCCAGTTTCTACAAATATTAATAAAGTTCTCTTGAATAAAGTTCTCACACCATATAAAGTGTTTGTAACACCAAGTAAGTAATTATTTTATATCTAGCTAGCTTGTTAGTGGTGTGTGTTCTAAATGCAGTGGTAGCAAATTGAATCAGATACTTATTATGTTTTATTTCTACATTGCATTAACCATGTATTTCAATGTAAATAAAATTGAAAAATATTAAGACATGTAAAGAAGGAAAGTAATGATAAAATATAAAAGATCATTATAAGACTGGTTTATCAATTAAAACATAGTTTGCTATAATAGTTCTTTAAAATATTTTATTTTATTTTATTTACAAAGACACAGTGAGAGAAGGAATACAAACAGGGGAGTGGGAGTGGGAGAACAGGTTCCCACTGAGCAGGGAGCCCGCCCGATGTGGGGCTCGATCCCAGGACCCTGGGATCATGACCTGAGCCGAAGGGAAGGCAGAGGCTTCACGACTGAGCCACCCAGGTGCCCCAGTGTTTTATTTGTTACATACATTTGCATTCATAGCATACATTGAAATGATGAGAGTTTAGAGTCAAAAGGTGTTTATACATTTATAAGCATAAGAATTATTTTAGTTCTAGAACTTTTTCAATATAAAACCTCTGTAGGCATTTCTATCTATATTATGAATGACTGAGTACAACTTACATAATAAATTTAGTCCAGAAATAAAAACTGTATTTTACATTTTTTACTTTTAATAACTCATCATTATACCACTGATAATAATTTTCCTTTCTCATTAAAAATATTCACAAGGCCCACATTCTTATTTTTGCATTCTAGAAAACAGTCCTTAAAACTGTAACAATTTTAGGGTCACCTGGGTGGCTCAGTGGTTAAGCCTCTGCCTTCAACTCAGGTCATGATCCCAGGATCTGGGGATCAAGCCCCACAGCAGGCTCTCTGCTCAGCAGGGAGCCTGCTTCCCCCCCCCGACCCCCGCCTGCCTCTCTGCCTACTTGTGATCTCTCTCTCTCTGTCAAATATATAAATAAAATCTTAAAAACAAAAAACAAAAAAAGTTAAAAAAAACTGTAGCAATTTTAATTTTAAAGTAAAATAACTTTTAAGAAAAGTATTGCATATTCAAAGAGAAAAACATAGGAAAAAAATTACCAATACTTCAAATTCATATATGTGTTATATATATATGCATTATGTAAGTGATATACATATATTACCGCATACTTACATTATACATAATATAAATATTATGTGTGTACAGATCCATAAAACTTGGGAATTTTTTTTTATAATCCCAAGTTTTGCAAACATGAGTAGATTTTCTTTTGAAAGGAAATTTAGAATTGGAAAAAATCCCATCAAACCATTTTATAAAACCTTGGAACATATTTAGTGTAATGCAACTTTTCTCAAAGATTTAAAGAGAATTCATGTTTCTCTATGCTTTAAAACATAATTGGTTCAGATCTTGTTAATTTGAAACTTACTACCATTTCTACAAGTGCTGGAAAGAAGCTTGCCTCTTTCAAAAGTATTGATTGAAGAATTATTTCCATAAGGAAGGGGCACAAATAATGTGTTGCAGTTTGATTACCTTTCCACATCATACACACACCCATAGAATGGGCATCCAGATCAAGGAACAAAACCTCACCCTTTTGGACCCTCCCTTGTGCCCCTTCTAGTCAATGCCAGCACCCTAAGGCTGATAACCATCCTGATTCAACACTATACATTGGGTCATCCTGTTTTTGAACTTTGCGTAAGAAGAATCCTACAATATGCCTTCTTTTCTGTCTGGATTCTTCTGCTAAGGATTCCGTTTGCAAGGCTGATCCACATTGTTGAGCGTGCTTGCAGATTTTTCATTCTTACTGATGAATAGTATTTCATTGCTTGACTGTATCACAGTCACTCTCTAGTCTCCTGTTGATGGGCATTTAAGTAGTTTCTAATTTGAGACTGTTACGAATAATGCTGCCATTAACATTTTGTGTATCTTTTGATGAATGTGTATATACATTTCTGCTAGGATAGAAAATGGTGAGCCAAAACATAAGTATATATTCAGCGTTAGTAGATAATGTCAAATACTTTTCTGGAGTGTTTTTCCAGGATGATTGCATCATTTCACATGCTTACCAAGGGTGTATGCAACTCTTGGTTTCTCCACATATTTACACATGCTTAGCACTGCCCTTTTTTTTTTTTTTAATTCATTCTAGTAGGAGAAACTTGCCTTCTTTTTTTAAAAAAAATTATTTATTTTTTGAGAAAGAGTTACTGTAAGCAGAGGGAGAGAGAGAATCTCAAGCCAACTCCATGTTAGAAATGCTTAGCCTAGCATTGACTAGAACCCAACATGGGGCTTGATCTCAGAACCTCAAAATCATGACCTGAGCCAAAGTCAAGAGTTGGTTGCTTAACCCACTGAGCCACCTAGGTGCGGGCCTTCTTTTTCTGTGAGTATTTTTCTAGGCAAATTACTATGGGAAGTAATGATTAATCATAGCATGGTTAACACATTTCCTTATACAGTTGTGACTGTTTCACCATTTGAAAATAACACCTTTTTCAGTGCCAAATGTTGCAATTAACAAATACTGGTTGTAGGTACTACAATCTGCACTCCTTTCTCCTTTTTTATTCAAAGCCCTCAGTGTTCAGATGCATACCTGGTGTTCTGCCTTTAGAGTACAGTAAACTAAAATTTGCATATGAATATCTTACATTCTTAATGCACTATCCTATTAG